TTTTATAAATTGCCTGTTATGCGGTTCATTATCGTTTCTTTACTAAGGAATAATTAGGGTTAAAGTTTTTGCGTTCCGACGGTGCAATATACCGAGAGTCACCGTACTGTACATGCTGCACGGCAATGTACAGTATATTGCCTGTTTTAAACGATAATCCGTTGATACCGAACAGCGGTTACAAAGACCATTTAATTTTGATCTTTGGTTTTTTCTTTATTTTCAAAGTTAAATTACTATTTTTAACCATCGATCAATTTTGCAAAGATATATTCGATCGCTCACTATACAGTATTTCAAAACGCGGTTTACTATATCTGATTTTATAATTTCCAATTACAATCTAGGCTTTATTCAATCCAATTGTGCAATAAATTACGGATGTGCGAATAACAAAATTTGGGGGCAAAATGATTTCGATAATAAAAGATAGTCTAGTATCTAGTAGATAAACAATCATGTTGCCAGGCGTTTATGCAAGATTTCTGATACTATCTTTCAGAATTTAAGGAAAGATAATTTCCACTCGTCGAAGCAAGAAGTTGATCCTGGATCATTTCTGACTTCTATAAACAACGTAGTTTCTGGTGAATTATTATCCGAATCCGTGTGTGCCTACGCGTTTAACATAATTAGAATTATCATTATGTCAAGTAAACTCTTGGTGTTTGCATATTCCTGGTTTAAAAAATATAAATATCTTTATCGTAGAAGTTCATAATTCAACTTTGGTTTTTCAAAAAAATCCAAAGTCAATACTGTAAATTAAATAAACCAAATAATGTCTAATTCATACTATAATTGTCTCATATATGCGCTTGTTATCACGATAACATTCGTCATTGTTCATTCACCAACGTCTGCAGTAGTTCTTCCTCGTCAAGATACCATAAACAACACAGGTAAGACTTCTTCCGAAGAAAGTAAACCATCTCTCGTTATGTACAGAATCGAATTGATATTTTTATGATTGATTTTGCATGTTACGATAGTACTTGAAGCCTCATCCTATCACATCGTCTCAAGTAACCTTTGTGACCCCAGTGTAAAACAGTATTCAGGCTATATAAAAACTGGACCTGGTCAACATATGTTTTTCTGGTTTTTTGAATCTCGTAAAGATCCCAAGAATGATCCTTTGACCTTGTGGCTCAATGGTGGGCCCGGTTGTACGTCGATGTTTGGCCTCTTCGTGGAATTGGGTCCATGCTACTCGAAAAATAACGGTTCTGATACAGTAATCAATCCTTATAGTTGGAACAATGTGTCAAATATGTTATTCGTAGACCAGGTATTTTGAATTTTTTCGTTTGACTAGGTTTGCAAACACCCCTGTAGTGATCATCGCTCGTATCATAGCCAATAGATGTCGGATATTCATTTGGAAAGGGCATCGTGAATTCAACAGCGGAAGCCGTCGTTCCACTGTACACATTTTTACAAAAATTCCTCGCTCGTTTTCCTGAATATTCCAAACAAGACTTTCACTTCTTTGGTGAATCGTACGCAGGACATTATAGTACGTGATGATATGATACTACTTGTTACTTTAAAAGGCCTTAAAAGCGAATAAAAAAACAAACCCATTCTTTCTGTAGTACCGGCTACGGCAAAATATATTTATGATATGAATCAACGAATCTTGGAAAAAAAGGAAGAAGGAATTTTTATTAATCTTAAGTCACTAGGCATTGGGAACGGTGACGTAGATCCGTATACACAAATGTTAGTTCTCACGTGCACTCTTCTATTTGAATAATTCTGATGTTAATGTATCGGTATGATCTCTTCTTATAGTGCTTCGTACCCAACCTTTGCACGTTATAGTTCTTGTAAGTCATCAATTTCATTTTCTAAATTTAAGGGAATAAGGACGCTAATACTAATAGAAACATTACAGATGGTCAGCTTGTCTCAGAAGATGTTATCAAACAGATGGAAAGCTATCTTTCGGAATGTAAAAGAAAAAGTAGGTTCAAGCTCGTTTAGCTGAATTTCAGTCTATCTTCAGTCCCACCAATGCTAACTCGTTCCGTTCTTAGTGGACAAATGTGACAGAACAAACACTGATGATGACTGTGCTACTGGATTCAATTATTGTAACCTCTATATATTAGGCACTTATGATGCTAACTCTGGTCTCAACGACTATGACGTTCGACTGTTCAATACCACCGACGAAGTACCATATGATTATTTAAACTTCATAAATAACCCTCAAGTAAAGAAGGCAATTGGAGCCAAATCTTCATTCAAAAACTGTAATAGAGATATCTATTGGGCATTTCGAACATCTGGGGATCAGTAAGTACAGCACAATGTTATTTTGGAAATCCAGTTGACGCTCAAATGCCTTGTTCTATGTTCTCTAATAACAACAATAATCAGAGGTCGGAGTTTTAAGAACCACTTCGGTTATCTCCTGGACCGCGGTGTTCGAATCCTCAATTATAACGGAGACGCGGATTATATTTTAAATTGGTAAACAAATCTTAATTTGTATTATCGTCGTTAATTACACCACTCAATAATTAAAACGTTGGCATAAATGAATAATCTCACCAAAGGTTTGGCACGCGAAATTGGACGAATGCGCTTGAATGGAATCATAAAAAGGAGTTTAACAGCGCCCCATTTGAAGAATGGTTCGTGCAGGGAAAGCCTGCAGGACAGTATCAACAGGCATACGGATTTTGGTTTGTGAGAGTTTATGGGGCTGGTCATGAGGTTCCCTATTTTCAGCCCCTTAATTCACTCTATATGTTTGAAAAATGGATTAATTTGTCAAGCTTGTAATTGGTATTACCAAAAAGAAAACCGACAAGTTTTACTTAGTTTGCTAAGATTGTCACATAATGACGCCACTCCATACGGAATTTTTTAATGTTTAGACCTAGACTTAGACTGTAAACACAATGAAAGCACATTTAGAATACAGTATTTTTTTTAAAAAAAAAATTTCTGATTTCCACTATTTTTTTTTCCATAAATACAATATCAAATTAAAACATTGCATATATTCTAGCCTTTTAATTGATATAGAATACCCGGAATCAAGATATTTATTACATCAAAAAAAAAAAATCAACGTTTTACCAAATGATTCGAAATAAAATTAATCTTATTTTAACAAAGGTTGAAAATAAATTTTAATATTACAAAAAAAAATTTAGAAAATTGTTTTTTCAATGCATCATTGTGATAAAACAATATAACATGCAATTATTTGTTATTTATTTATTCATATATTATAGATTTAAAAATTATCGTGAATTACTTTAAAGGAAAACGATGGGCAAATAATGTATGATACGTATGTGGTTTGTTACTGTATTGATTTCGCTAAATGCAATGTATTTACATAGAATGTACTGTGGATTACTGTACATAAAAATTTTCTCGGACGAAATCATGAATGTGTGTTTATCTTATCCTCAGGACCATAATAACCATGCCATCGTCCCTCCTTGAAACCCCAAGCTTCATAAAACCAATTTTTATAGATATCCTGAGCTTGAGTCCAATCGAGCGCTTGATTCCAGGTTTGCTTTTTTTCAGACATGATCCAGCATCCCTGAAAAACCTCTTTTTTTGCAATCAAACCAGGGGTCGTCGAATTCCGAATGACTTTGACCTTCGGAAAACCATCATTGTAAAAATATGCGCCTTCAACTATTTTAAATGTATTAACACTCTTTATCCGATGGACTAAAATAGACTCATCTGGGAATAGATTGTCTAAATTGCCATAGTTAAACCCAATATCGTGGAAAGGATTTCCGCGAAAATTTCGAACTGGCCAGCCGCGATGGGTGAAACCCACATAGTGCACTAAATATTTATTTTCTTCTGCTACCTTGCAAATCCAGCGACCTACCAAGTAATCTTCACTGCCCACCACCTTTGAACGAACCCAATTTAGTTTAACGATGTCCATGACGAGGTCGCGGGAAATCGTGTATCCCATACCTATAAAAAAAAAACAC